CTCTGATTTTTGTCTCTTAGCATGAGTGTAGCCATGTTTCCATCTGAGCCTAATGGTGATGTCCACAGCCCCTGCCAAGAGCCTCAGAGCAGAGACTTTAGTAGAAGATGGAAAATGAGTGACTCAACATAGTGAAGACATTCTCCAACTCCTCAGCTTTGTTTAGATTGTCCCGAAAGGGAGATTAGAAGGGGTTCTCAGAACTAAGACTGGAAAGGGAGTTTATACCATTAGGGCAGAGATTGGGAGACAAAGGTACTGAAGTCAAATGAGACTTCTGTGAAACACTTTGGAAAGTACAGATTTTGAGACTAACTACATGAACAGCAGCAGCATCAATAACTGTATCACTGGTGCAGGCTGCAGACATCAGCTGGGAATGAAGGTGATTCTCAGGGCCCTTAATTTAGCCCTCAGCCCCCAGCCAGACCTAAGCCTGCAGCTGGCTGCACAGACAGGCAGCCTGTTCCATCCTTGGAATTCCAGCTTAGGTGACTACATAAGGCATTTTGGTTTAGTGGTTCCTTAAATAAGATGACGTTCCTCTAAGTTTAATCTCTCTCCTGCTGAAATTTCCTACCCTCCTGGGCTTTACCCGTTAAACTGCTGCTCATCTGAAAAGTGCAGCTAGCAGGGTGCAAACTAGTACTCTAGTGACCGTTAAAATCTATCCTGGGACGGCTAGCACGCACGGAAAAACTTGCCATTCGCCGCCCACCTCCCCCCCCCCCCGCTATTCTTATCAGAGAGAACATGGAAAATATTCTCCCTTCCTTGGCTACTCCCTCCTCCCCTTACTGAAGGATGGTGTGTGTACATCTGAATGGGGGTGGGATGCGGGGGGTGGAGTTTAGCTTTCGGTCCTCAACAAAAACATAATGGTTCCCAGTAGGCCAGAGCGGGGCAACCAAGGAGGCAGGATCCTGGCCTCTCTCGGATCTGCAGGAAGGGTGGGCTGTGCGGGTCCAGGGTGGGATGCCCGTTCTGGCCGGCGGTACCTGCTGAGCCCTTCCTGATGTGACTTTATTAGACAAACCCCCACTCCCGCCAGGGGTAGACACACGAGTATCTGCTTTAGGAAGATTTCTGCAACACGACAGGGTGCAATTCAAAATCTGGGTTCTCCTTTCCTGAGCTCAGAAACCAATTTGTTCTGAGATAGGAGAAGGCTCTGTAGGCAGAAGACCTAAGAGATGGGAGGAGGCGCCTGGCGTCAGCGGGTCGCTTCTCAGCCGTGACCACGAGCGGCCAGCAGGTGTCAGTGCGTCCTCGCTTTGCCCTGGCGTTCGGCTCCTGGACCCCTCCCCACCTCTGTCTAAGGGAGCGCGGTCCAGACCCCCGGTCGCGCGTGTCCCGCAGACAGCTTCGTGGCTGGGAGGACACGTAGCCGCTTCTTCCCTAAGCCAAGGTCCGAAGTCTGGCCTGTGCCACTTCCCCATAGGTGCTGTCCCTTCCGCCCAGGGGTTCCATCCGAACCCGCGCCTTCCTCCCTCTCCAGCACCCCTTTCTCCCCAGCCGCCAGGAGCACCTGCGGACCAGGTCGGCTCTGGCCCGGAGCTGGGCTGCTCCAGATGTAACCCACACCAGAGGTTACTTCCCTCGATTTGGGCAGGGATTCCCCTCCACTTTTTCTTCCCTTTTCTTCCAAGATCCAGCTCCTTGGAGGCACTCACGGGTGCCCGTCGCGTTCTGCTCCGTCGGCCCGGAGCTGCATGGCCAACTCCCAGCAGGGGCCGCTCCCCAGCCCCCCCAACCACCGGGCTCCCTCTTTAAGCCTCTCGCTCAAGGTACGCGCCTCTCCAAAGGGCTGGTCCCGCCTGAGGGCAACTCTCCCCGAGGTCCAGCGCTGGGCGCCGGCGCTAGACTGGCGGAGGGGTGGTGCGAGGGGCGGGGGAGGGTCGGCTTCCCACGTGGGGGCTGACGCTGGCTGCTCAGCAACGCCGGCTTGATCCTGGGGCTATAAAACGAGTCCACCGTGAGCGCAGCGGAGCAGCAGCAGCTCCGGCTCCGTGCAGACGCCCAGCAGCCGGCGTGCCGCCGCCCGGCAGCTCCAGCGCCTTCTTCCCCCAGCCTTGCGCTCCAAGCCCAACTCGCGCTGTCGTCGGACCCCGGCCCATCTAGTCGCGCTCGGCGCCCACCTGGCGGACGCCCAGGAGACACCCTGCCTCCGTCGCGGCTCCTGCAGAGCTGATCGTTCACCTACCCCGGCCCGCCTGAGGACGGGGGTGCCTTCATGCGGTGCCCACACTCCTCACCCCGCCGCCGCCGCCGCCCCCGAGCTCCGCACAGTGCGCCCCAGCCCCAGCAGGGCGCACAACTTTGGAAGTCTCGCGGCGCTCCGAGAGGCGGCAGGGTCCGCGCCCCAGCCCCGGGCCGGGCCCGGCCAGAAGCGCAGCGTCTGGGGGAAGCCAGAGAGTCGGTAATCGCTTCGGGGATATAAGGAGACAGACATAGGACCCCAAGCTCGCATCAGCACCCCTCGGCTGCCTCCCGGGGTGGGGGCGGGCCCCGCACACGGTAAGACCTCTTGCTTTCGCTCAGGCTCAAGAGTCAAGATATAGATATCGATATGTATATATATATTTAATTTCCTGTCATCCTTCCAAGTTATCAGGCCACCGATGATTTTTGTTCTCCCTTCTTGAAGAATAAATCTCTTTACCCATCGGCTCTCCCTACACTCTCCCGCCGCTTAGAAATAAAACTTGGCTGTGTTAGGAGCTCGGAGCGAGAAGGCGCCCACCGAGAGCGTCCGAAGCGCGAGCCAGGCGCAGTTCGCGGGACCCGGGCCATGGGCCGCTAGCGGTCCCCCAGCTCGGGCCTGGCCTCCCTGCGGCCCCCTCCCTATGTGAGCTGCAGCCAGGCGAGCGGGGCGCCGGAGGAAGAGGAGGACCCACGGGCGCCGGGCCGGAAGGCAGCTGGCAGCAGGCCCAGGCGAGCGGGCGCCCGCGTTCATGTTCCGCCAGGAGCAGCCGCTGGCCGAGGGCAGCTTTGCGCCCATGGGCTCCCTGCAGCCGGACGCGGGCAATGCGAGCTGGAACGGGACCGAGGCGCCGGGGGGCGGCGCCCGGGCCACCCCTTACTCCCTGCAGGTGACGCTGACGCTGGTGTGCCTGGCCGGCCTGCTCATGCTGCTCACCGTGTTCGGCAACGTGCTCGTCATCATCGCGGTGTTCACGAGCCGCGCGCTCAAGGCGCCCCAAAACCTCTTCCTGGTGTCTCTGGCCTCGGCCGACATCCTGGTGGCCACGCTCGTCATCCCGTTCTCGCTGGCCAACGAGGTCATGGGCTACTGGTACTTTGGCAAGGCTTGGTGCGAGATCTACCTGGCGCTCGACGTGCTCTTCTGCACGTCGTCCATCGTGCACCTGTGCGCCATCAGCCTGGACCGCTACTGGTCCATCACACAGGCCATCGAGTACAATCTGAAGCGCACGCCGCGCCGCATCAAGGCCATCATCATCACCGTGTGGGTCATCTCGGCCGTCATCTCCTTCCCGCCGCTCATCTCCTTCGAGAAGAAGCGCGGCCACGGCGGCCCGCAGCCGGCCGAGCCGCGCTGCGAGATCAACGACCAGAAGTGGTACGTCATCTCGTCGTGCATCGGCTCCTTCTTCGCTCCCTGCCTCATCATGATCCTGGTCTACGTGCGCATCTACCAGATTGCCAAGCGTCGCACCCGCGTGCCACCTAGCCGCCGGGGTCCGGACGCCGCCGCCGTGCCGCAGGGGGGCGCCGAGCGCAGGCCCAACGGTCTGGGCCCAGAGCGCGGCGCGGGCCCGGGGGGCGCGGAGGCCGAGCCGCTGCCCACCCAGCTCAACGGCGCCCCTGGCGAGCCCGCGCCGGCCGGGCCGCGCGACGCCGACGCACTGGACCTGGAGGAGAGCTCGTCGTCCGACCACGCCGAGCGGCCTCCCGGGCCCCGCAGACCCGAGCGCGGCCTCCGGGGCAAGGGCAAGGCCCGGGCGAGCCAGGTGAAGCCGGGGGACAGCCTGCCACGGCGCGGGCTGGGGGAGACGGGGATCGGGACGGCTGCGGCAGGGCCGGGGGTGGAGCGCGCTGGGGCCGCCAAGGCGTCGCGCTGGCGCGGGCGGCAGAACCGCGAGAAGCGCTTCACGTTCGTGCTGGCCGTGGTCATCGGAGTGTTCGTGGTGTGCTGGTTCCCCTTCTTCTTCACCTACACGCTCACAGCCGTCGGGTGCTCAGTGCCGCGCACGCTCTTCAAGTTCTTCTTCTGGTTCGGCTACTGCAACAGCTCGCTGAACCCGGTCATCTACACCATCTTCAACCACGACTTCCGCCGCGCCTTCAAGAAGATCCTCTGCCGCGGGGACAGGAAGCGGATCGTGTGAGGTTTCCGCCGGCGCCCGCGTAGACTCACGCCGACTGCAGGCAGCAAGGCACCGAGGAGTGCTCAGCCCCAGGGCACTCAGAAACCCGGGCCCTGTCTGCTCTGCGTTTCCTCCTCTGGGGTGGCTCTGCAGCCTCCTGCGGGAGGGCGTCTGCTGCTCCTACAAGGGAAGCGTTCTTGCTGCCAGACCCACGCATCCCCAGTTGTTGGTTTGGCCACTCTTGACCTGGAGCCATCTTCCTGGTGGGCCACCCCAATCAGTATTGCTTCCTGAAGGTATTTTCACCTTCCTCCCATAGCCCTCACAGCTCTTCAGAGCAAGCACTGGACTACAAGGGCATGGCTCACAAAAGGTTAATGGATGGTTACCTAGAGGATTACCTAGCCCTGGCTAATTCCCCTTCCATCCCCAGCTCTCTCTCTCTCTCTTTTTTAAAACCCACTCAGGGCAGCCCTGCCTGCCCTCCCCACCACCCCCTCCACACTGTAAATATACACTATTTTTGATAGTACACATGGGGACGCCATATCTCTTGACCTTGGTTTTGACGGTGAAATCCTGGCCTTGGGAGAGATGCCTTCCAGGCAGACACAGCTGTGTGGTTCAGGCCAAGCGCCATTTGCAATGCAAGCCCTTTCTGGTGTTACAATGTCCCTCTATGTCGTCCTTTTCACCAGCAACTGGTGACTGTCCCTTTGACACGGACCTGCTTTGAGATTTCCTGACGGGGAAAAGATTTCTGTCCATTTTTTTTTCCTGTGCCTAACAGCATAATTGCCTTTTCCTATGTAAATATTATGATGATGGATCAAGACATAAGTAAATGAACCTTTCTGCCTCACATCAGCCCTGTGTATAAAGCCATTATTCTCTGATGCACTGTTCGCCCCAATAACTCACTTTAAAACCTCTCTTTCCAGTGTTCCCTCTCTCCCTGCAGGGCCACTGCTTGAAGAAGAATATGTATGTTTCTATCTTGTATGTACGTGCGCCCCTCCTGCCCCCAAAGTGCTGACTACGGGAAAATCTTTTAGCTGCTGTTTTTAGACACCAAGGAGTGGAAATTACGTGGAAGAAGCAAACCTGATACAATCTGCCCAAGGTAAACAGTTTGAAAAGACAAATGGGCCTGCCAAACTGTACAGTTCCTGCCCCAAGAGCTGTTAGGTATCAAAGTGTGGTCCTTTCCCCCCTCCCTGCTTTTCTGGTTGAGATCATGTCATTGATGAACTGCCAAAGTCAGGGGAGGAGGGCGGAGACCTTGTGTTTACATCTGCGTTTCTACATGTTTTAGACAGAGACAATTTAAGGCCTGCACTCTTATTTCACTAAAGAAAAACTAATGTCAGCACATGTTGCTAATGACAGTGGATTTTTTTTAAATAAAAAAGTTTACAGATCAAATGTGAAATAAATATGAATGAAGTGGTCCTCTTGTCTGTTACCTGAGTTTTCAAAAGCTTTAAGGCTCTGGGAACATCTGATTTTGTGGATTTTTTAAAAATAAAAAATGTACATTATACATTTTTTTAAACGTTCGATCAATAACAAAGCTACCGTTTCCTAAGTGTTTCTGACATGCTAGTCACTGTGGTGAACTGGTTGTAGGCATTGCCTCGTTTACTTTTCTCAAGAACCCTGTGAGGTAAGTTCTGTTACTATCCCCATTTTTCAGGTGAAGAAACTGAGTCTCAGAGCAAGTGACTTGCTCAAGGTTAACAAGCGGTGGAAATGCATTGTACCTAACTTTATCTCGTTCTAGGGCCTGTGAACTTAACCCCAGAACCTTTCCAGAGTTTTGGCATTAGCCCTTCTCAGAACACTCCCAGTGGAGAGGTGTCTATGCAGTGTGCTATCTACACCAGGTGTGAGATATATCCCAAGTATGTAATATACACAAGGTGTATACATACCCCAGTGTCTATATGACCTAATGTGTCTATATACCTCAAAGTGTGTATCTACTCCAAAGTGTGGTATATGCACCAAGTGTGGAATATATCCAAAATGTGTATCTCACCTTAAAGCATGGTAATATATGACATGTAACATATACTCCATAGTGTGGTTATGCACAAAGTATGGTCTAAACACCTGAATAGAACCATGTATTAGTTGGTGGTTTGTGGTTTGAATTGTCTCTGGCCAGAAGGCACGCATCCTTCTTGTTGCATTGCTGTAATAGCAAAGTCTGCTCTGCTGTCTAGGAGGGCTTATGGTCCTCACACTATGGTTATGGCACTTTGAAGCTGGAAGGGGCCTTAGCAATCCAGGAGTCCAACCCCTCATCTGACAGATGAGAGGGCAAATGCAGATTCAAGAGGAAGCGACTTGCTCAGGATCCCATGGTGCTAGGTGACAGGGCTCTGGCTCCAGGCTGCCTGGGTTAGGGAGCAGCTGAGAGATGTGTAGTAGCCCTGTGCATATAGTCAGATGCAGTGCTGATGAATAGCCACTCATAGAGGAGGGGGGTTTGAGGGGCAAACCCAAGCATCAGGCTGTGGTTTTGGGGGAGGCCAGCTTTTGTGAGCCCAGCCACCTATAATATGTATGGATCAGCTTTGGATGCCCCCCTCCGGAAGCAGGTCCTTTGCACCCTCTGGGCCGTACATGCAGCATCTCCTCATCTTCCTTTGCTTCTCTGGTGCAGGAGAGGGTGTCTGTGTATGCAGCAGTGGGAGGGTGGAGAGCCCTGAGAAATGATCTGGGCACTGAGGGGTCTGGGAGAGGGAAGACCATGGCTCTGAGGGGGTGAGGAATTCCTGCTGTCACCTGGATCCTCTGAGCCGGCAGACAGGAGGGTGGCCAGGTGCTGGGCTCCAGTGACCCTGGCTCAGAGGCTTCAAAAACCAGCCTCCTGGCCTGTGGCGCCAAGGCTGGCTCCCTGGTCTGGTTCTGTGGCCTGCTCCCCATCCCACCCTCACCCCAGTCTCTCCTTTCCCTCCTCACTCCAGTGCACCCATCGCCCCAAAGGCAAACAGTGCCAGACAATAGCCTGCCTGGCAGGCCCCCAGGCCCCAGGCTGTGTGTCCCAGCCACAGGAGCAGATACAAACACTGCTTGCTGTTGACTCTCAGCTCTGTCCTGTCTGCCAGGAAAGTGTTTGCCTTGCCTCCACCCCCAGAGAGGGAAGAAGCATGGGCTGTGGTGCTACACGGAGGGGCCTCTGGTGTCATGCTCCTTCCTCCTCGTTACAGAAGCAGAGAAGCCTTAGAGGTGGATGGAGGCTTCAGAAAGTGGGGGAGAGAGGGCTGGAACCCAGTCATGGATGGGTTTCTGAGTTCACAATAGGAATCACTGTTTATTCATTTGCAAAGGGCTCAAGCAACAGTCTGGCAAGGTGTGGGGTGGGGAGGGAAATTGAGGCAAAATGGCTCCCGCAGGGATCTTGGCTTAAAGAGCAGGAGATAAGACTCTAACCCCCACATTTTCCTGTGCATCGTATCTGTTCCCGAGTATCTGGGCCAAGAGGGTCTGTCTTCGTGGCTGAATCTCCTGTTTTATGTAACTTTGGTTGGGATATCGAAAGCCATTGGCTTTTGGGTCTGAAGTGCGTCTTGCTAGATTTACTCCTGCAAGTGCACTGGGTTGGGGGAAGGGTAGTGCCTTCGTTTGAGCCTGGGCACAAGTACGATCTCCTCCTCCCCAAGGCTTTGTTCAATTTCTTCTGTGCTAAAAGGCTGGAGGAGAGAATGATGAAAACATGGCTTAGGCTTTCCCCTGTCTAGGACCCTATAATCAAATCAGAGATTTAGAGCCAGAAGCATCGTGATCAATCCTTAACTCTTACCTTGTACTGGCAGATCAAGGGACCTGGGACCTAGAACAGCTGTTGGTTATGTAGCATTCCAGGAGCCCTTGAACCCACTCCTCCCTGTGACTCTCCGTCTGATGCCACATACACCCAACATGAATTCTATTTTGTTTTGGGATGTGGTGAGTGGCTAATCAACCCCAGAGGACCCCCTGTGCCTGCTTTGTGTCATGGACCATCGTAGGCATTGCAAGGCAGTTCTCTTCCTTCCCTGCATGCACTGTGCAAAACTCACCGCTTGTCCCTGTGGAGTGAGATGAGGGCCCGCCTCTGCCCTCTGGAAGCTTTGGAACTACATGGGAAGCCAGGATGTGCCTGTGAAAATCACTAATTAGCCACACACAGCGACAGTGTGGCAGTAGGGGAGAGGATGCCATGTGCCCACCAAGGATAATGGGCATCCGTACTGTGAGTGAGCGGTGAGGGAGAGGTGGCTGTGGCTGGGAGCTCAGAGCATAGAATGTGGGAGTTGGGATGCCCACACTTTGAGAAGGAAGCCCGTGAAGGAAGCTCTGGTTCTAGCAGCTGAGTCCTGTGGGACCAGTGCCAGGCCTGAGCAGTGGCACCTGGGCCCAGGTCAGGCCTCAGCTTTCATCCAACCTTATCCTTGGGGATGGCATGACAAGGTCCTGTCCCCATCTGGGGACACCTGTAAGGAAGTCTACCTCCTTGACTCAGTAGCATAATAGGATCCAGGTACCCGGGTCCAGAGCCCAGTGCCAGGCTAGCCCTTGGGCCTCTGCCCTGGGCCCTGCCACCCCTCACAGTGGGCCTGAGAGTCGGGGGTGCAGAACGGGACACCTACCTCAGCAAAGGGCACGCCGGAGAGGGAGACCACGTCAAGTCACGGAGCAAAATCACTGACACTCGGATTTGTTTTGGAAATAACATTGATCTATTTGATTACCAGAAATCCTGGGGCTTAGAGTTAGTTAAATACAAAAAAAGAGAACAGGGCCTGTTGGAAACAGCCTAGATTGAGGATTAGGAGGCCTGGGTTCTAGGCCCAGTTTTGTCTTTTACCAGTGATGTGATCTTGAGCAAATCCCTCTCTGAGTCCCTGCTTCTTCATTTATGAAATGCAAGTGGTTGGTCTAATATTATTTAAAAGTGTGTTCTGTGCAGTTAATTTAACTACAAAATCTATCTATAATATCTACATTATCTATCGACATTATCATTCTATCTGTCTCTACTGTCTATCACCTCTGTATCATCTCTTCCCTGTCTGCCACCTATCTGGTGAAATGCTGGGGTAAGCAGTCTTTAATAGGTATCTTTAATCCTCTCCTTCAGGATCTCTCAGAGACTTTGATGTGCCTGTGTGGTTTTGCGATTGTCTGAGAGAGGATGACATGGTGTGCTGATTCCCAAACTCCCTGGACTGTGGAATTTCTTTTTTTTTTTTTTTTTTAACAGAGCATCTCAGTGAATCATGTTTGCTGGAACACTTGTTGAGTAACACTGGGTTAAGGGATCTCATGGGGCTTTTCTGCTGATCCATTTTATAATTCTGTGAAATGCGGGTCTGCTCTCTCCTTCTGTCCAGGCCATAGGTGAGGCACACTGGGAAGGGCCAACCCATGTGCTCTCTGTAGGGACAGCTGGCACTAAGGGCCATTGGCCTCATGGAGGCTGGGGTAGAAGTGAGGGTTTGGTGTGTTTTCCAAACATAAGCTAAGCCTATGTATATGTGTGTGTAACATGTGAGTGTCTATGGGTGTGTGTGTATATGTGTCTGTGTGTGTGTAAACAGGCACCAATGGACACTGAGGACCACTTTGCTCACCTGGGCCTGACATGTGAGGGTATACATGTATGCACCAGGGGAAGAGGTCACAAAGGAAATTAAAGGGGAGTGTGGTGTGTCTCACTGGTTGTCATGTCAGTTGGCCCCTCCCTGCCTGCGAGGCTGCTCCCCCGAGGTGGAATGCCTCTCCCCTTCTAGGGCAATGAAGCCAAGCTAGGAGGAGGATGGGATGATGCAACGCGCACATTCTGGGGCAGGCAACACTGCTTCTCTGGCAGGCGTATTCTGTAGCCTCCGGGCTGTCCTGTTCTCCATGGAAGGGGCAGTTTATCTGACTACAGAGAATTCTGGAGGGGATGGGAGGCAAGAGTGAGAGGCTGTTAATGTTGTCCCCAAGTTTTTCAAGGGCAGGGACTTGAGACCTCTTTAAAATCTGTACCTGAGAAAAACAAGATGGCACCCTGTGAAGGGATGAGAGAAGGGGAATTGAAAATGGACTATTTGCAAGGTACAAGCAGGGTTAAGAGAAACTTACAAGGGCCCTGGGACATGCACAGTGGGAAGCTGTCAGCACCTTCAGAAGGGGCGAGGTGCTACCCACGCTATTGGAACTGGGACTTTGGGGAAGGATGCCTGGCAGGCACTGCTGGCAGAGGACCCCTGCAGCCATTGCTAAGCTGTATCCAGACAGGGAGAGAGCAGGGAGAATCAGCACATTCTCCACTCTCACTCCCACACCCTGATCTGCTGGTGGCTGCCCTTAGGCAGAACTCAGCACAGAAGAAAGAGTAAGGGGACAGCTCACAGGGCTCAGCCTTCCGGGGCTCAGCATGGACAAGGGCAGAGACTATAGCCAGAGGTGCAAGTAGAGAACATCTAGTGTAGAACCCAAAGCCTGAGAAAGGCAGAGTAACAGCACTTTGGGGAACAGGCTGGAGAGAGGCCAGCTGCCTTTCTGCAGTTTGTCCAAGGGCCAGCTGCTTGGGTCACTGGGCATCTGTAGAAGAAAAGCACAGGCCCTCCTTCCTCCCTGACTATGCAGATGCAAGGCTGTGTGTGAGGTTATTATGTGTGGCCAGACTGTGTGAGCATGTGCGTGCGCGCGCGCGCGCGCGCGCACACACACACACACACACACACACACTATCCTCTTCTCTGTCTTCCCTGTCACCTGGTCAGGTGAGAGAGAGAGAGAGATCCCCGGGGACCCATGTGGCTGGCTCTTGGCCACAGTTCTCTGGGTAATCCCCGTCCCATGTCTGTGGCTCAGACAGAGCTCAGAGCTGCCCAGCAGTGATGGCCACTGAGGCTGGGGCCAGTGGGGAGTCTGCTGCTCTGTTCTCAGCATGCTCCCTGGACACACTTAAGGGATTGTTTTTTATGCCCTAGCCCTAGAGGAGACACGGAGACATTTAATGAAAGAATGATAGAGTCCTTCCTTCGTTTATTCATTCAACTCTGTTTTGGAGCCGCCCCAAGCTAATGTTACTAACATTACTCTATTTGTACTAGGTGTTGGGGTAGAGTGGGGAGCAAACTAATTAGGATCTTTACCTCACAGAGCTTCTTCTGTTACTGGGGACAGCTTCCTCTTGTATTAGGGGAGAGCTTCCTTTGTGGGGAGAGGGCTGCTTCCTTTGTGGGGAGAGCTTCTTTTGTAGGGGAAGCTTCTTCTTTTGTTTGGGGGAGAGCTTTTTCTTTTGTGGGGGAGAACTTCTTCTTTTGTGCGGGGGAGAGCTTCTTTTGTGGGGGAAGCTTCTTCTTTTGTGGGGGAAGCTGCTTCTTTTGTGGGGGAAGCTTCTTCTTTTGTGGGGGAAACTTCTTCTTTTGTGGGCTCCAGCAAGTGGTAAGCCTAGTGATGCAGGTGCCAGGGTGGGTGGGCTCACCATGGGGAAAGCGGGCCCAGGTGAAGGCATTGGGGAGGGAGCCTGGAGAAGTGTGCAGTCAGATGAGAGATGAGAGATGGGTAGGAATAGGTCCAGCAAAGGGACTGGGAGTGCCAGGGGTGGGGGGCATTGCATGTTCAAGCAACTTATGAAGTCCACTTTAATAGGACCATGAGATGTGAGAATGGCGAGGCTGGAGGAGGACAGTCCAGATCATGCAGCCACAGGTAAAGGTTTTATCTTGAGGGCTTGGGGAGCCATGAGAGGTGTTTTAGGCAGGGAAGGGACATGATCAGATTTTTTTCTTTTTTTGGTTCAGAACAATCATTCTGGCTGCTGGGTGGAGACTGTTAGGGGAGGGGCATTGGGAGCAGTAACTCAGAGCGTTAATAGCCTAACTAGGGTGCTGACACCACAGGGAAGGCCAGGAACCCTCACTCCCTCAGGGTCACCCAGTGGCAGCGCCAGTCTCTGTGCAGACCCAGATATTGGGATTTTAGAGCTTCCCTTACCTGCAAAATACTGTATACCACTGCCCCTACCCTCTGTGAATTTCCATCTTCTCCTTGGCTCAGAGCTTCCTATTCATGGTCAAATGCAAACATCTCCTGGAGTGTGAATTCGGTCGGTCGTGGTGGTATGTTGACCTAACAGGCCACGGGACCTGACCTGGTCTGACTCGCTTCTCGTTTCCGAACATCACCGTCTATCGACACAACAGGCCAGGGAAGATTTGAGGAGAGACCGTGGAGCACAAGCACATCATGTCCCCAAAGACTAGTTGATTATCAAGGGTGAATGAGAGCTTGCAAGGACTCACCCCTGCCAACTCCATGGATTCTGCTTGGGAATCAGAAGATCTGATAAGCCCAAAATCTGGAACTCGCACTGCTGACTCCTATGCCAGGCTGTTCAGGCTCTCAAAGATAAAAGTCATCCATTTCCAAGAAGTTAGGGAACTTGTGACTTGACAGGGATGTCTACTTTGCCTGCCATGAGGAGCTCTCAGCAGCAAACTCACTGCTCTCGGCTGGGCCTTTTCCTATGACCCTCCACATTTGCTTGTTTGCCTGAAACCTAATCCTTCCATTCTGAACACTTGCTGGGAATGGAGCTATCCCTCCCAGGAGCTCCCAGAGAGGGTGGCCCAGGTGAAGGCATTGGGGAGGGAGCATTGGGTTCTACACTAGATATTCTCTACTTGCCCCTCCGACTATAGTCTCTGCCCTTGTCTATGCTGGGCCCTGGAGGGCTGAGCCCTGTGAGCTGCCCCCTTACTCTTTCTTCTGTGCTCTCTGAGTTCTGCCTAAGAGCAGCCACCAGCAGATCAGGGTGCAGGAGTGAGAGTGGAGAATGTGCTGATTCTCCCTGCTCTCTCCCTGTCCGGACACAGCTTACCAATGGCTGCAGGGGTCCTCTGCCAGCAGTGCCTGCCAGGCATCCTTCCCCAAAGTCCCAGTTCCAATAGTGTGGGTAGCACCTCGCCTCTTCTGAAGGTGCTGACAGCTTCCCACTGTGCATGTCCCAGGTCTTGGAGGGAATGGCTGGTATTCCTGAGAAGGGCACTTTAAAGCTGAAACTTTGGAATCAGGAAGATCGGAATTAAAATCCTGGTTCCATCACATAGCTTTGGTTTAACCTTGAACAGAGGGCTAAGCACCAGTTTCTCCACATGTAACTTGTAGAAGAAGTTGCCAGTGTTTTGGTAGGTTGCTTAGGCCTACGCTTGGCGTCTGGTAGGGGCTCAGTAGTGCTAACCTTTTCTTCTCCAGTTTGGAAGCTGGGCAGCTCCTTTTGCTCCCGTAACTGCTCTGGGCTGAGTGGGGCTGGGCTGGGCAGTGTTTTAGGGTGATTTGTGACAGAGAGTTGACCTCTTAGGTCTTAGCTTTCTCTCTTTACAGCCTGATGGAAGACCTTATGTCTTCAATAGCACAAGAGGGTGGGCCTAGAAGAACTCCAAGACCCATACGTGACCTGAACGACCACGATGCATTTCTAGACTGAAACTGAGGTCTCCTGATGCCAGGTTAGTGCTCCTTGCTGCTTCGCTGTACCACAGGTTGGTTTAACTATCTTCTGAACATAATGCTCATTTCTGCCTCCATAACTCTGCTTCAATTCTCCTGCATGTGGAATGCCACATACATGCTCCCTCTGCTGCCTCCCAAAATCGCACCCAAACTTTAAAGCCAAGCTACACCACCATACTTTAAAATTTTAATAGTGGAAAGAACCTGGGGTTTGGCATCAGTTATACTGAGGCTTAATCCTTGGGTCTGTCTTGCTGTCAGTTCCACTCCCCATCTCCAAAGGTGGCAAATGCCCAATGGGGGTACATGGTGGAGGGCACCATGCTGCCGCTGAGAGGAGCTACTCATGGGCCTGCCCCCTGCCCTCCCATTCTTGAAAGCTCTGAGGGAGGGTCTTTTGTCACTCTTTCTTCTCATTCAAATGGATTGGGGCTAGAGACTTGTATCTTCCCCAGTTCTTCTGTGCCCACTGCTGGAGAGCTTTTGGTCAGAAGAGTTTCAGATCTAAACCAAAAGGGTTGGGTGTGGTGGCTCATGCCTGTAATCCCAGCACTTTGAGAGGCTGAGGCGGGCGCGTAATTTGAGGCCGAGAATTCAAGAACAGCCTGGTCAACATGGCGAAACCCTGTTTCTACTAAAAATGCAAAAATAGCTGGGCATGGTGGTGCATGCCTCTAATCCCATCTACTTGGGAGGCTGAGGCATGCGAATCGCTTGAACCTAGGAGGTGGAGGTTGCCTTGAGTGGAGATCGCGTCACTGCACTACAGTCTAGGTGATACGGGGAGACTCTCTCAAAAAAGAAAAAAAAAAACAAACGTAAACCTAACGGAAATCATGAGAAATGCAGATTTTCCCCTTAGAGGGAAAGGTTTCTACCGTATAAGCCGCCCCTAACTCATGAGTTCTCCAAAGCTCTCCAGCGTGGGGCTAAGACGAGCTTAGATTTTGGTGTCTGAGGGACTGGGGTTTGCATCCTGGCCTCAACTCTGACAATCTACGTGACCCTGGATATGTTGCTTTTTTCCCCATGGCATCAAGTAAAAATGGGTAAAATATTACTTATCTCATGGGGCTGCTGTAGAATTAAACGAGGTGATGACTTTGCAGTAATAACTCAGCATTTGACATAGATGATGGCTTTGGTCCTGTGAGCTACAGGTCTGGGGGCAGGGCTGCCTCTGTGTAATCTCTGGACACTCTTTGATCCGATCTCCAACACTTGCCTCCTGCTCTGCTAGCTTTGTGGAATGTGGCCTGTGGATCCATATTTCACTTCAGGGCCGCACCAGGGTTCCCTGTTTTTGTCCCAGTGTAAGTTCTGAAAGGGCAGAGCAAATAGGAGGAAGTGAAGGGAACTAATTGGAGTAATTTCTTTACTGCTTTATGCTTTGGTTTACTCATATGTAAAAATTTTTGTTTTTTGTTTGGTAAGAAACAAACACGTTAATGTAAATTAAGTGTTTTAGAACAATGTCTGGTGCAAAGTAATTGCTCAATAATGGTTAGCTATTATTTACTTATTTATCTGGCACTTACTGTGAATTTGTCACTATGCTAAGTCCTGAGGATACACAATGGGAAAGATCTAATTCCTGTCCTGAGTTTCATGTTGGAGATAAAGTAAATAACTAGAGTAACTCATTGTGTTATAGACAATGCAAGAAATTAGAATCAGTAGTTCTCACCAATAATAGGGCATTAACTCTGCAACATTTATTTCATTTATACACTGGAATATTTTGTGTATTTAAGAAGAAAACAAATCTATGTGAAAACTGTTCATAATATAGATTTAAGAGAAAAAGACAGATGATATCCAGTAGAGTATGATCTCATAGAAATTGAAAAATAAAAAGACAAAAAAATTGGAAAAACAAACTGTTAGTAGTTACCTTTGCAGTCAATTTTTTCCTAAAATTTTCTTCTTACATTTTTCTGTAATGATCATGTATAATTTTTGTAGCAAAATAAAAAATTCTTTGAAAGCAAGAAGGAAACACTATAGTGTCTCCAGTTTAGAGGGAAGATATGTTACTGTCTATTGAAGAAATGAAGGCTGTGATGAGAGAAGATGGACATAATCAATTCATAAAAATTCAAAAATAGATGTTTACAGCAGGAAAAAAACAGTCTCACCAAAAAGGAAATCAACACGATGGGAAAAGACATTAGGTAGAAAATATTCCGAAAAAATTCCAATCCTGCACATTTAAGACTGATTCCTTATAATAAGAGGAGTCTGATATCGATGTTGATGGTCGGCACATAGGGAAATAAATGCATCTCCATTTGGTTAATGGAAGAACTTTCTAGCAATGAAAGAAATGAGCCTGAGAACAACTGTAGGATATCTCACAGTAAAAAAAATACGGAAATAATAAAGTCACATAATAAAATCACAGTAAAAAGGAGAAATCACAGAACTCAAGGCCAGGAAAGCCACGGCTGTGCTGGAGGTCGACAGCAGGTGTCCGTTCTGACTGCTGCATGCTCATGCTGTATTGGGTGCTAATATTTTAAATAACCCCTCTAGAAACACATGTGTTCATACACACTGGTATGATATGCAAACTGGGCCTTATCTTCTGGAGAGAAATCTGGCAATATTGTAAGAAGAGCCATAACATTACTTACAATATTATTTTTCTCCATTGTCGCACTCTTGAAAAACACTCACTAAAGAACTAATATTAAGAGAAAAAAAGATGCCCACAATAATGCTGTTTATGTTAGCAAGCATTGAAAACTATCTGATGTCTACTCAGAGGGACATGGCATATTTTCATAACACCACATATCCATCAGGGTTGTTTGCAATGCCCTCTTCATATCTGAGTTCTCATGCAGTCCCACCAGTGGGTGCATATTGTCATTCTGACTTTGTGGTAGATCTATGTGACACGCCAAGGTTACTCAGAGTTCAGTTTCTGCTCTACCACTTCTTCAGGGGCACAGTCCACAGCTCTTCCCATAGCTTGTGGCTGCATGTTTATGATGCCACATCCAAGGACTTTGTTTCCTGCTGAGTTTCAGTCACCTACAACCCATAGTAGGCATCCAGTAAACATTTGGTGGATGAATGAGTTAATATGATGAAATACACTTAAGTCAGTAGACGTGACCATTGAGAACCACGTTAATGCAGGAATGGTGAATGTAAAAATGAGAACATGGTGTTGGGTGTGACAAAGCACACATATTACATGACTGCTCCACACTGGATGTGCACAAAGACAGAGGAAATCGCTCACCTCACAGGGACTAAGTTCCGCAGGAAAGAGAACGTAAGTGCTTATGTTTTAAGGACAGAGGAAGTGCTGTCCACCAGGGAAGAGCCTGTCTCCTGGCTGGCAAAGTCCTTGCTCTTAAATTATCAGTGGTTGATATGGTACAAGGGCTAAGATAAAACCTGATGAGATCTGCAGGTGTTTGACTTCCCAAGAGCTGTCGCTCTGATGCATTTTTGTGCTTGAAACAACTCCAGAGTGAAGATGGGATGTACAAAGACTTGTGTGGATACACTTTGTATTAGCCAGGATTCTCCAGAGGGACAGAACGAATAGGATATATGTCTGTACGAAAGGGAGTGTATAGGGGAGAACTGGCTCACATGATCAGAAGGCAAAGTCTCATGAAAGGCTGTCTGCAAGCTGGGGAAGAAAGAAGCAAGTAGTGGCTCAGTCCAAAAGCCTCAAAAGCAGGGAAGCTGACAGTGCAGCCTTCAGTCTGTGGCCCAAGGCTTGAGTGCCCCTGGCAAACCACTGATGTAAATCAAGAGTCCAAAGGCCAAAGAACCTGCAGCCTTCCAAGGGCATCAGAGGAAGAGAAGGCAGCATCCAGCATGGGAGAAAGATGAAACCAAAAGACCCAGCAAGCCAGCTATTCCCATTCCCTCTTCTGCCTGCTTTGTTCTAGCCATGCAGACAGACGATTAAATGGTGCCCATCCACACTGAGGGTGGGTCTTCCTCTTCCAGGCCACTGACTCAAATGTCAATCTCCTCTGTCAACACCCTCACAGACAACACCCACAAACAATACTTTACCAGCTGTCTAGGCATCCTTCAGTCCAATCAAGTTGACACTTAATAGTAACCATCACACACCTATAGGCTGTCAAGGGCTGTGATAAGCACTGCCTGGAGGGTTGTGGAACAATCCTCAGAGAGAATAGCTTTGTGCAGGATCTTGAGGATATGGAGAAGTGGATGTGTTCATGCACAAGTGTGTGTGTATGGGACACAAACATGTCATATACTATACATATATACGCCTTTCCTCCCTCTATCTCTCTCTATATATCTATATATATGGCAATGAGTGTTTTGAGTTGGGGGAAAGTCTTAGCTTTTAAACACAGGGAGAGGGATTGAAAACAGAACCCTGATCTAGGAGTTTGCCAGTGCTCAGGACAGTGGAGTTAGAGGAAGGTGTTCTTGTCCCAGCTTTTAGGCCGGAGACAAAAGGTGGTCTCAGCTCGTTAAGTAAGGATGTCCCTGGATCTGTAGGGAAGAACCAGAAAGGGGAAGGGGGTCAGAACTAATCAGCTCATATGGCTCCGGGCTTCACAGTACCATTCCTGGTCATCCTTTGTGTGTGCAGCAACAAAGGTCAGCCTTTGTTTTGCTCTCTGGGTGACTCCTGTCCTCCATGCCACCCTCCATGGAACCTGCTGAAGCAGAGCCTCAAAGTCAGGGTCACCTGGGCATGTATTCACAGCCACTTCTTCTGGGTTCTCTGTTGTGTGGCCTGGGTCGGGCAGGGTCTTGGCACCCCGTCACTGCACTTGCTCATCTGCAGCATCTCGGGCCTGTGCTCACTGTTCGCGGTGTTAGTCCTGAATCACTCACCGCAACTCACTTGCCTCGTGCTGCCCAATCTTACTTCAGTTGTCCTGATGACTAATGTAGTCACTTGCTCTCAGTTTTTAATTGTTTTGGTTTGTATTCAGTACATGCTGTTGTTGTCTTATGGGTTTTGCCTCCTTTTAGTGATGATGATGATGATGATGATGATACCTATTCGGTGATAATGATTCCTCACTCTCTATCCCAGCAATACAATGAAGAATGTCTTATGCACATTTTCTCTGACCCAGCCCTGGGCTCCTACTATCATGGGGCAGGGATGACTCAGACTCTGCTGATCTCAGCATTGCAGATGTGATCTGGACAATTTCCCTGCCTGGGAGCAGGATGGGAGCAAAATTGATGGAAGCAGTAGACATATGACACTCTTTGTGAGGTGTCAGCTCCAGGCTCTTTGTGGGGTTGGAGACTTTCTTGTACCTTCTGCATATTCCCTGCTTTTCTGCAGCACTCCCAGCAACCTCTTTTCACTGGGGCGGAGAGAACCATGGTGATGGTATTGAAGGGATTGGATTCTGTCTGTAGCTCATCAGGGTCATGTGTGGGATAGAGGCCACGCATGAAAATCAACCCGCTTGTTATGTAGTGAATGTCTGTGGTTTGCATTCCCAGCCATCATTCCCTCTTCTGGCAATAGCCTCACTCCCATCTATGTATTGCTCTCAGTTGGTGTGTTTGGGGTGGGCTCCAAGGTGACTCTATGAGCTAAACCCAGATTTGTAGCCTGCCATTGTATCTCCCACTGTGACCACAATGAGTGGGCCAGGGGCCCATCCCTGAATTGGTCAGAGCCAATGAGATGCCAGAAGACTTTCAATGGAATTGTTGAGAAAGAGGCAGTGTTTTTTCCCACTGGATGTGCCATGTCCATCCACAACCTGGGGCACCATGGAAGATGGAAGAACTCTGAAAGAGGAAAAGAAATGGAGCCCTAATGACACCAATTGAGTCCTTAATCTAGTTGTGTGTGAAGTGAGACCTATCTCTAGACTTTTAAAAAATTTCATGAGCCAATACATTCCCGTTCTTTTAATTAGGCCAATCTGAGTTGAGTTTTCTGTCACTTACAACAAGGAAGTCCTGACAGATATAGTCCTGTGACCTTTGGGTCAAAGTCACCTCATCAATATGCTCAAAGATTGCGTGAATTTGAAGTGAGTTTCTTTGTTTTGCTTCTTTAGTTGGGTGTCACTTTGTCCTTGTGTTATGATCAACTTTCTAATTCAAACTAAGTTGACACTGCCTTAAACAGTTCTTTGAACTTATCTAGAGTCCATCAAACCAAGGTCAGAAACCCATAACCCACATGCTGTCCTATGGGGGCCAACAGGTCAAGTATATAAGATTACTTGGAACAACTCCTTGGGAGGGTGGGAGGAACTTTCAGTTATCCATCAATTTCTGGGATTCTCTTATGTTACTGGATAGGAGGTAGAGGACTTCTGACCATCTGGGCTTCCAGTCTCGGGGTCCAACTTACCATTTGCATATTTCTAAAGAGGACAGAGCAGTTGTTCTCACAACTATTTCCTGGCTCTGCAAATAGCACAACGCCATCATCGTCCCAGAGGCATGACCCAAATCCTGGCTGTCCTGTAACAGGAGTTGTTGCCACCAAGTGACTTATTTCATGGTGCAACCTTCCAGAAATGGGTTTAGACATTGTTGGAATGTGTATGTATTTTTGTGCATTGCATTTTGGGGACATTATTTGATCTAGTTGGCAAAGTGAAGCCAGATGAGCTGAGAGCATAGGTCATTTGGGCTGCCAGCTTTCTGCACTTAAATATTCTGCTTTATTCCCCTCACATTTCTATAGAAGTTCAGCTTTCAAAACTATGCAACAGTATTTGGGCACAAAACTCTGTAAATGCCAATAATCTCTATAAATCATCTATGTGTGTACATGAATCCAGTGAAAAATAAAGGAGCATTGTGGTCAAACGTGTGGACCCTGAAGTCTGCACACCTATGTTCCTCATTCACCTGAGGAATGAGGAATGTCTGTCTTGAGGAAGAGAGGAATGTTGGGGATCACATTTCTTTTGTCTTTCCAAAACCAGCTGGGGTGTCACTGGCTCACCAAATTCCTCCATGTTTCCCATTTACAGTCTTTTTGGGCTGATTCATCACACCATGAAAGGGGATGTATTCTGGATCCTTGTCTTACCATATTATTTGATTATTTATTATTTATTGGTCTATGTAAGCCTTTCCTCCCTCTCTAGCCTGAAAGTGCTGGGTGGGTCAAGGCTGTGCCTATCCTGCTCCCCACCCGAGGTCTAGCACAGTGCCTACATGTCGAGGGTGTTGGGTACGGTCTTGTTGACCCTAGGGCCCTTGCTGCCATGGTGATGGGGTTGGCCAGTAGGTGTGAGGGAAGAGCCTGAGGGCAGAAGTTAGGGATGGGAGGAGAGGTGTGGGTGGGGTGGCCCAGGGAGTGGGGGTTCAGTGAAATAAGAAGGCTAGAACCTTGCTTCTTTGTACGAGGAAGGTTCATGTGGCCCATTAGCTTCACTGAGAATGGACTTGGATTCATGGCTTGAGGGGGAGCTAGAGACCTGGAAGCAACCACGGCCATTTAACCAAGGTCCATTGCCCTGGTGATTTGGGGTCCTTCCCCTGGGCCAACCCTTCTGTTGGGCCAGTTCTGTTAGGTGGTCTGTGTCCTGCCCCATGGGGTCTGAAGGACATAGAGGGGCTAATGGCCAAAGAACTATGGGCAAAGGACTTGCCCTTGTTCTTCTTGGATGGGAAACATGGAGAACACCTGGAGTTGGTCCCTGATCCTCTGTTGTCTGCAGCCATAGCCTCAGGATCTCATGGAGGCAGGAAGACCTAGCCTTGCTCTCAAAGCAGCAGGCCCTTATTCCTACCACTTCTGCCTCAGCTCGCCCGCTGTGCCTCCTTGGGAGCCCCTCCCCAACCATAGCCCCCATCACATTGGCAGCATGCTCAATTGTTGACCAGGGAAGAAACTTACAGCTCACCAGAGGAGTGACTCTGCCCCTCCATTCCCCACCTGAGATGGTCTGGGGTCTCTTTCTGGATCCCAGATGTGCCTCTGTGTGTGTGTGTGTGTGTGTGTGTGTGTGTGTGTATGAGAGAGAGAGAGTTACTATAAAATTGGGGGCAGAGAACAAGTGGAAAGTCACAGAGAGCACTTCTTCCCTCTTGGGTGCCCCAGTCCCCAACCCTATGGAAGCCGCCTGTCCTGGGCATGAGGAGGCTGGGAAGGGAGTGCAGTACAGAGGGCACAGTGCTTCCAGGACTTCTGACCTCCAGGAGTGTACTTTTGGGAAAGGAACTCAAATGTACAGCAGCTCCTCTTGGGTTACCAAGTGTGTAGACTTGTATAGGCAGCTGGACCTGGTCCCTGAGCCGAGCCCCAGGGGCTCTGACGCTCCTATTTACCGTCTTCCTGACTTGAGCACACCATCTCCCTTTCCACTGTCTCTACTTTTTCATCTGTAGAATGGGTATCCTACCACCTCACTCCAAAGGTAAGTCTAAGGAGACCACAGGTGAGGCAGCACTTTGCAAATTCTAATGTTCCTTGCCACAGTGCTGATGGACATGGTGGATGACAGAGCACAGGAGCCCCGCACTGAAGTGCTGGGGGTCCGCAGAGGGACAAGGAGGGACAGAAGAGGCTGCTCCAAGGAAGGGCATTTGGTTCCTACAAGAGTCTTGGATCTTTGTCTTCTTGCTCGGGGCCATAAGGAACCAGAGGCTCAGTCGGGCTTTGGGGTGGTGGATGCAGGCAGCTGCAGGGGATGGAAAAAACAGGCACCGTCCCTCATTGCCTCAGATTTATCCAGTTCTTTGTCCCTGGTCTCAGAGGGTTCCTTTCCAGACTGTGTTGGGAACTACAGGGGCCCTTGGACCTTCAAGTGTGATTTTTTTTTTTTTTTTAATGGAAGTGGTTCTAGAGAACTCAGGAAGAAAACTGGCATCATAAAAATATGATGTGATGTGGCTAACAAGAAAGCATAACAGGCCTGGCTCTGCATGGCCTAATATAGCCTGGCATTCAAGCCCCAGCCAGGATGTAAATGGGGATTGGTAATTGAAAACACGAGAGGTCTCTTGGATGGGATGACGGAGAGCCTGCTGCGATCTCTGAGGCGGACATGCCAAGGGGATCTGAAAAGCGGCCCAAGGGGACTGTCCTGGGTTTCTAAGTGTGGGTGGGGTTGGGACCTGGATGAAGGCACCCCCCTGCAGCCTCCTGCCCACACTTTGCCTAGCGGGTCAGCATCGGACTGACCAGTTCAATTAGCCCTCATGGGGAGGAGTGGTGGGCTCAGCGCCACCAGAGGTCATAAATTCCATCACCCTGACCTCTTGAGAGCAGAGTGGACCAACCTCTCCATTCCCCTGCCCTGCCAGCATCCTGGCTAGCTGGTTTTGGCCCTACATGGACTCTGAGAGAACATGGCCCAGTCCTCCCCCTCAGACAGCGGATTGACGCCAACTTCGAGTGTGGAAGCATCATGGGGGCAGTGCCAGACACTTTTTCTTCCTCATCCTCTCTCCTCCTGCAAAGACACAGATCCATGAGTCAGCCAAGAAGCTAAAGGACTCTGATGCTATTTGGTGCTGACTTGCGACTCAGGTCTGGGGAGGTAGAGGGGGCAGAATGTGGGAGAGGAGAAACAAGTTTGGGAGTGAGAATGGTTTCCCTGGGGCCACCTTGCCGGGTGACCAGTTCATCTCTGTTTGCCTTGGGCCTTCCTGGTTTTGGCACTGAAAGTCCCAAATCCCAGAAAACCTCTCAGTCCAGGGAGAACCAGGATGGTTGGTCATCCTTTCCCATCAAAACCTCTGAAGTCTGCTCCTATGGGAGCACCATCTCTGGATTGGTGTCCCACGTGACTCAGCCAAGGACCCAGAGCCTCCTGCTGGCAGAGCTAGGACTTGAATACAAATCCAGGGCTGTTTGCCCCCAGCCTGCATTACTCAGGTCCTTCCAGAAAGTGGGACACCTGGATCTCTCCAATGATCTTGGCCAAGGCCTTTCCCCAGGATGGAAGTGGTGGTGAAATACCCAAAAGAGGGAGGAGAGGGGTGAATGAGTCACCCTTGGAGATCAAAAAATAAGACCCTGCAGTTCACCCTAGCTCAGAGATGTGGGATCCCAAGAGGGGAAAGATGCGATCTCTGCCCTTAAGGAGTTCACATCCTTCTTAGAAAGGTGCAGCGGGCTTGCCTTTGGGTGCCTGGCTCAGGTGCCACTCAGTGCCACCTACACACACTCACCAGGAAAAAATAGACAAAGGGTGTGGTTTATCAAGATTGCATTACTTTTAATTTCCCTTATAGAATGTATTCATTCAAGAAATATGTATTGAATATTTGTTCTTCAGTGTGTTGTTCCTTGTGTATGAAACATACTCTTCTCTTTTCCCCTCCTTCTGTCCTTCACCCCGACGTCCCAATTCCACCCATTCCTCAGGTCCCAGCTCAATAGGTAATATTTATTGAACACTTATTACGGATCAGGTGCCATAGTAAGCACTTTGCACTGCTTTAATTAAATACATTTAATCCTCATGAAAACCATATGATTCTATTATATCCATTTTACAGATGAAGAAACTGAGTGGTTAACTGGCTTGCCCCATTATGACACATGGCTCTTCACTGTTAGGCTGGGTTGCACCCCGGCTTGCACTTTCCCTGCAAGGAAGGCTTTCCTGAGCCCTAGTGCCCAGTTTCCAAAGTCCCTTTGATTAGTCTCCACTGGAGCACTTGTCACCAAGCTGTGACACACAGTCTCCTTGTCTGTCTCCTCCATGAGATGGGGTTCCTGGGGGGTTGGACTCCTTCCTGCTGTGTCCCTGAGAGTAGGCATTTAGGAGGAGTTTGGTAAATACATATTGGATGAGTAAATGAACGAATTGATGGATGAGTGAATGAGTTGCCTCAGTGGCCATAGGAGCTCTGAGGTCCTCAGCAAAAGCCTTTGTTTTGTCACTGAGGGGCACTCCACACTGGCAGCATTGGGCCGAGGAGCTCTTGACGGCACAAGGCAAACAGCCCTTCTGAGTAACCACGTAACTATGACATCGGGAAACAAACTGATTTTTAAATACTAAAACAAGTTTAAACTTTTTACAGTAAATGACATCTTTTCATGAATTCTTGGGATGAAACTGAGATTTGGAGGAAATTTCATGCTTGTGTTGGTGTCGACAGGCACGTCTCAAATTTCACCCTTCACCCAGCCCCCTGCAAATTCTTCTCTGCTGTTGGAGTGATTTGGGGAAAAGTTTGAGAAATGCCGCGTGGAGGAGCTGGCTGGAGCTCAGGACATGGGATGTCTGGACTCAGTGTGGGCTGAAAGAAGGGTATTTCAGGGAGGCGCACTGCAGGAGCAAAGGTGCAATAATGGGGACAGGTGGCCCTCTCCTTGTTCCTTGTTCCTGGAGCTGGGTGAGCAGCCAGTCCCTGTGAACGGCTCTGAACATGCCAATAGCTATTGCAATATACGATTAGCAGCCACATCCCGAAGTACCACCGCCACCACTACCACCAAGTACCATCACTTGGAAAACCTCACACTATTTTTAGTCCCTTTAGCTCAAGAAAATATTATATCATCTCTTTTCCTCCCTACAAGCCAATTCATTGTTGATCTTGTCCCGTCATAAAACCCTGTTCTCCTTTTTAGCTGTGCGAGACCAATCAGCGGTGGGGTGGAGTCCCTCTGCTATTTTCATATTTTGTGTCACTTGTTCACATGGGAAAAATCATGACATTTTCCCACGTTGGGGCCCTGTGCAACCTGGCTTTGAATTTTAAGCAGGTAATTGCTCTGGATCATGCAAGGGGGCCGATGAGCTGACCGACCAGCAGGGCTCAGGGTTCCAGGCGCCTGATGTTGGCATGACTGGGGCTCGATGCTGACAATCTTATTGATTTTAGAACCATTTCCAAATAGAAGAGGAGGAACCAGTGCCTTGTAGAGTGGTGGGAGAAAAGAGGGGCAACGTCCTCCATTGAAGGAATCTGCTCTGATTCAGTAGGAAGGCCAGGAGATGCTTGGCAGTTCCAGTTCATTGCAGGTTTACAAAATGCTTTTCCACCTTGATCTCTTTTGGTCAAAATTCTGGGAGTTGGGGTGGGCAGAAGACATGATCTGCCTCCTACAATTGAGGAAACAGAAAGGGCCAGAAAAACAGCCCAGTGCCCCATGGAGTTAGAAATGGCAGAACTGGACTGCAGCTGGAGCGGCGTAGTGGCTGATGTGATGGGTCAGGGGTTCAGACAAACATGGATGTATATCAGGCTTTTCCATCTGTTGGGTGAGTATCTGCACAGTCACTTCTCTTCTCTGAGCCTCAGTTTTCTCAGCTGTAAAATAGGGATGATATCCTGTCACAAGTTGAGTAGAATGTGATAATAGATGTGAAGTACGTAGTAAGTGCTCAATATATAGTCCCTATTCATACTATCAATACTACTTTTTGCTGCAGATGTCCCATCTCTCTGTGTATCTTGCCCAGTCTTCCCCTCTCTCCTTCCCAGAGGGTCCCATCTGTTATCTCTTTCAACTTGCAGCCAAATAAGCTTAAAGAATATGTAAATAGTTTAAAAATTCAAGGCACAGACGTGTCTGTTGTGTTCTGGATCTGCCAAGAGACATCGTTGCCATTTCTCTGCCACTTCTAGCTCCATGAGTCCCTGGGCTACTTTTCTGCCCATTTGTTTCCTCAGTTATAGGAGGAAGATGATGGCTTCTGCCCACCCCAAATCCCAGAACTTTGACCAAAAGAGATCAAGGTGGGAAAGCATTTTGGAAGCTGCAGTGACTTGGAGATGTGCATGTCCTTTCAGCAGTGAAAGGGGATTAAGAGAAGCTGCCGCCATGGGCTGGAGTCTGACCTGGCATCACCTGGACAATGGCTGGCATTTGTGGAGCTGTGAGTTTCTAAGAAGGAAATTATCTTGGCACCTCAGCAAAGCAATGGGCAGCTGTCTAGAGTCCCATCTGTAGGGGACACACACACACAAAAAACACTGGAAATTTAATGTCACAGGCAATGTTTACCCAAGTGCTTTCAGGGAAAGTTTAATGAAATGGGAAGATCGTTTTTGGATAAGCTGTGTGGGATACAGCATAGTCTCCCAGAGTGAGTGCCAAGAGCACAAGATGGTCCCTAAATAGGGTGGAGACAACCTTCTGATGAGCTTTCAGTTTGCTGGGTATATTTGGGGCCAAAGCTGAATGGCTTGGGGAACCCCCTTGCCAGGGGATGCATGGGTCTCTCTATCATGAGTCTGGGCTGAGGCTGGAAAGCTGGAAAGGGAGGAAGGTGCAGTGAATATCAGGCATGTGACTGTCCTGCTATTAAACCATTTACCCAGACTGTCCCACCCCAGCCTGAGGTTGACGTGATAGGGGTGCATACATTAGGCAGATGCTGTGGGAATTCCCTGAATGGTTGCCCAGCTCTGGGGTAGACTTGGCCATGCTTAAAGGAGAACAAACCCTGCCAGGATTTCAGGTGGCCCGGGAGGTGGGGGTGCTGGCAGTGAGTGTGTCTCACAAAGGCCACTGTCCTAGAGACAAAGGCTGGATGGAGGCTGGCCCAGTTCCTTCTGTTCCTAATCCTACAGAATCTCCTTGAAATTTCATGGGCCTCAGGGGTCACCATTGGCTGAGGGGTTGAACGCTCCATGGCCGAAGCTTCGCTCTCTGCTTGGTAGTGAAAACAGCCACCTCCCCACCACCCCGTACGGATGAGCCACGGCTCCTGGCCTCCTGCCGTTCACATGGTCTAGGTGGATGGTCCAGCTAGACAGCCAGCTGGGCATGTGCTGAGCCCCTGCTGTGTGCCAGCTACCCTGTTAGGTGGCTCCTCCTGTACCCAGTTTTTAATCCTTCCAATACACTTGCAAAGTCAGTGTTAGAATTCCCATTTTACAGAGGAGGAAGCTGAGGCTGGGGTTAAGGATTCTGCCTCTAGTGGCTTGGGGACTCAGTCCTGGTCTAGAAGGACCCTCCCTCCCATGCATGTCTTCCAGTTCTAATGTCCACACTGGCTGAGATTTCCAGTGTCCCGCCCTGCTTGCTGGGTCCTTGTGGGTTTTTGCTGTGTGTCAGGGAGCTTCAGGATTCACAGATGCCGGCTGACTTAGGGTCTGGGGTGCTGGGCTCCCACCCTATTAGGGACCAGCCATAGCTGCTGGGGCCTCCTACTCAGGTGAGGAGGAAGCAAAAAGGCAGTTTTTTGTGGAACCCTGCACAGAAGGTGGAGGCATGCTCAGGGGAATGGGGTGGGACTCCTTCTCCCTGCACCTTTCCAGTTTTTCTGGGCACTTGGTGGTGGGAACCCCAGGGGACAGTATTGCTTTCCTTCTGCTTTTTGGGGTGGGGCTGGGAGGTGTGAAAAGGAAATGCAGGCCCTGGGCAGAGGTCAACTACAGAGGATCAAAAGACCCATGTGGTATTTACTTGTCCCATTTCCTTGCCAAAGGCCACCCCTGGAGCACAAAGCCCGGATCTTCAGAACTTGAGCCCTGCTGTTGTTCTGGAATTCTGGACTGAGATAGGGCAGGGAGCCATGACCAGATGGATTCTTGCCTCGTTCTAGCCAGGGGAACAGCCGACTTGTTGGGCTGGACCAGGAATATGGCTACCCCCTCACCCACTTTAGGAATCCTAATTGATTTCTTTTTGACATTGCACTTTGCAACTCCCTTCTCCTGCAGGTGAAAGGGCAAATTGGAAGGTAAAACCTGTGGCGGCAAGGCCTTGAATGTTGCTTATCACCTCCAAGAGCAGGGTGGAGAGAGTGACAGCTTTATGATGATTAACCTGTGAGTCTGCTGCACTGGAAAAAAATTAATCTCGAGGCCCAAGACCTCCCCGCCCCCAGCCACTTTTAAATGCTACTTTCTCAAGGCTGTGAACTTGATTCTTCCCCTCCAACTCATTGTGTTTATTTTGAATAGTACTTCTCAGGAACTTTTACATTAAGCTTTCCTAGCTGATGTTGCTTGGTTTGGACTAATGTCAATAATAGGCTTATTTCCCTGGTGTAATAATGGAAACTATGCTTCATTTCATGTGCCGCCTCGGCTAAATTGTGGTGGCAACATGGAGCTCTGTATTGGGAAGAATCTGGGGCTGAGACCAGACTCAGCAGAAAGTAGTGCTGTGATTGATTAGCAATGCCTGTCATGGCCATGGGAGGCAGGAGTGGGGACATCTGTGCCATCCCCTATTTAGGAGATTAAATTTAATTTCCCCACTCCTGTCTGTCTAGTCTGTAGCAAGAAGACCCTTAACATAAAAAGTCAATCCTCTTCTACAAGGGTCCAATATGCTGTGCCCAGTAGGGCACGTTATGCTCTCCAGAATGGTCTTGCTTTTCACCCAGCTTTCAGAGTGATTTTTCTTTTTTTGTGTGTGTGTGTGACAGAGTCTCACTCTGTCGCCAGGCTGGAGTGCAGTGGCACAATCTCGGCTCACTGCAACCTCCTCCTCCCGGGTTCAAACGATTCTCCTGCCTCAGCCTCCTGAGTGGCTGGGACTACAGGCGCACACCACCACGTCCAGCTAATTTTTGTATTTTAAGTAGAGACGAGGTTTCACCATGTTGACCAAGATGGTCTTGATCTCTTGACCTCGTGATCCGTCCTCCTTGGCCTCCCAAAGTGCTGGGATTACAGGCATGAGCCACTGCGCCCTGCCCAGAGTGAATTCTCTACAAAATAGATACCATCAGCTCCCTGCCACCTACAGCAACACACGTAGCCCTTCAACACGTGGACCCAGCTTTCCTCCCTGGCCTCATCAGCAATACTCCTGCACCTGCACCTTAGAGTCCAGGTGTGCGGAATTTTTCTCATTGTGTTCGGAATTCACAGTGCCCTTTCCTACGTTCTTGCATTGTCATGTGTGTTCTCTTTGTCCGGAACATCTCTTCCTTTCTTCTTATCCTTTAAGATCCAGCTGACCTCTTCTGCCGCATGCCAGATCCTAGTGCACGGGCAGCGCGAGTTCCAGGCGCACAAGCCAGTGAAGAGGCAGCGGCGGCCTCTGAAAGGAACCGGGGCCTGAGGAAAGACGGTCGTGTTACAGCTCCCAAGAAGGCGCGCGTCGGTCAGCAACAAAAGCTTAAGAAGAACCTAGAAGTCAGGATCTGGAAGAAGATCGAACATGACGTGGTAATGAAAGCCAGCAACAGCCTGCCCAAGAAGCTGACACTGCTGAAGGCCCCGATCAAGAAGAAAGGGGAGGCTGCTGCCACCTCCTCCAACAAGGCACCTTCCTGAAGAGGCTGGCCCCAGCGCAGGCCAACATCGCAGCCCCCGCCTCCACGATAGGACCTTGCAGGTGATCCCACAGGCTGCACTGTCAGGAAGAGGACCCTGCCCCCCAGCACTGGGTCTCACCTAGAACTTCACTGGGAGCCTGGCCTTTGGGCAGCAGATCCTAGGGTGCTGAGAACCCAGCAATGGCCGGGAAGATACAGTCACCAACTTCATCTGCCCCTGTGCCCCTTCCCAGGTCCTACCTTCATAGGTTCAACCCAGCGCAACAAACCTGAGTTTATCATTAAAAAAAAAAAAAATCCAGCTAACATGTCACTTCCTTCATGAAGTCCTCTCTGATCCCTCCAGACAGATTAGTCCTTCCCTCCATCATCTGTATTCCCACAGCATTCTGTTCATTTCTCTGTCATAGCACAGGGACATATAGACAGACAACTAAAGATGCAGCAAGCTGTTTCCCATTAGACCGGCAGCCTCTGGAGGGCAGAGACGACCATGGGATGCCGCGGTGTTAGCACTGCCTCTGGCTCCCAGAAGACGCTTGGTGAGGGGTGACTGAAGCAATCAACATGAGGATGAATGAACTCCAGGATGTGTTGTAAAGTGACTTGAATTTTGATTCCCATTTGTTCGAGCCTGCCAAGGCTTAAATCGCGTTTGTTGGAATGTGAGAAAAGGAGGAAGAGTGGTGATTAAATGTGCTTGATAAAACTTCTCTATTTTGTGTTTGGAATAAAAATGAGAAGCTTGAGATAAAACAGTGCTTGTTTCAGTGCTGAACAGGCTTCTCCAAGCAGGGCCTCGTGTCTAAGTGTCTAATCTTCCCCTCCAAGTGGGGAGGGTGGCACCAGGCTGGGCACTGTGTGGGGGGCATTATAAGGGGTGGCAGTGGGATGGAGGTGGGAGACACCGTTTCCCAGGTGGCAGGGCATGGACGGTTCCACAGAGGGGCAGCCAGAGCCCAACATGCAAGGGTGGGAGTTAGTCAGGTGGGGCAGCTGTTCCAGGCAGGGAACAGCATGTGCAGGGCATGAGTTGTGTGCATTAACTTCCACCACACCCAGGGCGCCATGCTGAGTAGGGGGAGCGTTCCCTGCTTCTTTCTCATCCAGATCCCCAGCTCTACCAGGCTGCATCCCCAAATGTAGTGTTCACTGGTCTGTTGATTTTACTTTTCTAGGGTGGCTAGTAGACATAATTTGTGTGTCTGTGTGGAATATGGCATCTCGTGGAGGTGACTGGTGGTGTAGGCTTCCCTACAGAGTTGGCTGTGACCCTGTCATCATTCTCTCACTTGGTGATATGGTTTGGCTCTGTGTCCTCACCCAAATCTCATCTTGAATTGTAATCCCCATGAGTCTAGAGAGGGACCCGGTGGGAGGTGACTGGATCATGGGGGCAGTTCCCCCATGCTGTTCACATGATAGTTAGGAAGTTCTCAGGAGATCTGGTGGTTTCATAAGGGGCAGTTTCCCCTGCACTCTGTCTCTCTCCTGCTGCCTTGTGAAGAAGGGGCTTGCTTCCCCTTCACCTTCTGCCATGATTGTAAGTTTCCTGAGCCATGTAGAACCGTGAGTCAATTAAACCTCCTTTGTTTATTAATTACCCAGTCTCAGGTATGTCTTTATAGCAGTGTGAAAATGGACTAATACACTCGGCTTCTCTGGCTAACGGGAAAGGCAGGGAGGGAGGGTGACACTTGCAGAGCCACCATTGCAGCCCACCATCCCTCCCATTTCATGACCAGAAAGGGCAGAACGTGAGAAGCAGAGCCGGGATTTGAAGGGAGTCTGTGGGCCCCCTGGGGCTGAGCATGTGTAATGAGCAGAAAGAGTTCGGGCCACTCCGAGTGTCCCCAGATCCTTCCCCCATCTCTTCCCACAGGGCTGAGCTGGTGAGGCTGCCTCACAGGGCCGAGGAAGGTCAGCACATTCAATCTGGTCCCGCAGAGTCTCCCCCAGGGGGCAGCAAGGATTTCACTTGGGGCTCTGCCATGGTTATTCTCTGCTGACCCTGACCAAGGCCATGTGGGGTGGCTGGCACCACGCCCTGGAGTTTACCTGTCCTCTGTGTGCTCATAGCTCAGTAGAGAAACAAGATTAATACTGACAGGCAAATAATACAGTTTGGATACAATCTGAAGCTATTTGGGACACAGGCACATCCTCGGAAAGTTGTGCGAAATGTGTTTGCCATCAATAGTATATGGCCTGACTAAAAGGTCTCCCATGCCCCCTTCTCCCTAACTTACACCTCAAAGCAGTGCTGCCCAATAGAAATGCAATGGGAGCCACCTGTGTCATTGTAAAATTTCTAGTAGCCACATTAAAAAAACTAAGAAGAGAAGTTGAAGCTAATTTTAGTAAAACATTTTATTTAATCCAATCGATTTGGAATGTTATTTCAACATGCAAGCAATATAAAAATTGTTAATGGGCTATTTTACATTTTTAAAAAATACTAAGTCTGAACTGTGGTGTATTTTGTGCTTACAGCGCATCCCAATTCAAACTAGCTGCATTCAAGGGCTCCATAGTGGCATGTCCTTAGCAGCTATTGCATTGGGTGGCAAAGCCTCAAAGACTTAAGCAAGTTATTTAGCCTTTCTGTGCCTCAGTTTTCTCATCTGATGGATGGGGATGATAAGAGTACCTAGAGATAATACATACATAGGGTTTAGCACAGCCCCAGGCTCAGGAAAACCTTTGGTAAATGCTCATTCATTATATTGCTAGTGTTGAAGGCAGGACTGGGGGGTGTGCAGTTCTCACACTTTGGGTTTGGCTTTGGGAAGCAACTTTCCTTCAACTTGGATCCTGTGTCCACCTCGGTATTAGCTCTTACAGCCCTTTAGTCTACTGGTCCATTCCTTCTGGCTTGCTAGGACTCCCAACACCTCCCTGGGCAATGAGCTGCCGGGCTATGATGTTGGTGGGTGGAGGGGCAGGTGTTTTCCAAAGGAGAGGACCACACTTCTGATCTCCTAGGGGACCACTTTGTTAGCTTGGTTTGTATCATGGGTATCTAGTATATTAAATCCATGGGGCAGCTCATGACTCCTTTCAGCATGCTCAGGAGAAAGCCCAAAAGCCGGCAGGGTAACCTGTATGGCATTTTGTTTCTGTCATGTGCAAATATGACAGTCCTCATTGGGAGCTCTGGAAGTAGTGTTGTCCAGAGGAGAGGGGCCCAGCCTTGCTTCTTGCCTCTGGGCTGTGCTTAGTGTCTGCCATTCAGAAAGCCTTCAGGGATTAGGGTTGAAGACCAGTGTTTCCTCAGCCCTTGGTGGGATCCATCAGCTCCCTGGAGAAAAGAGGTTGCTTATCACAGCCAAGTAAGGGGTCAGGGTTTGGTGTGGATGTCAGCCCTGGTCCTGGGCCCCCCACTGTGGGCTGCTGGGCCTAATGGGGTCTCCCTGAGGGGCCTGCTCCTTGCCTCACCTCTTTGCCTTGTCATCTTCCTTTCATCGTTTCATGGATTCCACAATTCCTCCCATTATCATTCATTTAACTAATACTTATTGAATACCAACTGTTTGCTTGGCACATGGTATACAATGGTAAACCCTGCATCCATAAGCTCACTGTCTAAGAGAGTAAGGCACTAATCAAACACTACAACTGCATCCAGTGCCTGGGTGTGAGGGAGGGCCAGCTGGCTTGCTTGGTTTGGTGTGTGGTTGGGGTATTGGCATTGTTTTTCAAGCTTTCCAGGTGATTCTAAGGTGCAAGCAGGGCTACAGCCCGCCAGTAGGGGCAGGGGCAGGGGTTGGGGGGTATGGAGGGAGAGCATGTGGTGGGGTGGGGGTTGGGTGGGAGGAAGTGCTTTGAATACTATTCCTGGGTACTCTCTGCAGCCCAGGTACAGAATCCGAAGCACTTCCTCCCACCCCTCTCTTCCTATCTGTGTGACTGTATGTGGGACATTCTGATACAGCCCCATCAAAATGCAAAATTGCTGTTTTTAAATTTTTTCTTTTAGTTTTTAGAGATAAGGTCTAGCTCTGTCACCCAGGCTGGAGGGCAGTGGCGTGGTCATAGCTCACTCCTGGGTTCATCCCAGGATTCAAGTGATCATCCCACCTCAGCTTACCAAGTAGCTAGGACTACAGGTAGGCCACCATGCCTCGCAGTTTTTTTTTATGTTTTATTTTCATAGAAATGGGGTCTCACTGTATTGCCCAGGCTGGTCTTGAGTTCCCAGCCTCAAGCGATCCTTCCACCTGAGCCTCCCAAAGTGTTGAGACTATAGGCCTGAGCCACTGCACCTGCCCCTCCTTGTAATTTCCAAGTAACACACCCATCAGTTATTTTAACCTTCCATGTTTTTTTTTTGTTGTTGTTGTTGTTGTTGTTTTCCTAACTTAAATGGTACCTGAGCCTCACTCCAGGATTTGGGATAGGAGGAGGCTGAGGAAGTGGGGAAGGATATTTGTTTTCACACAGTACTTGGTAAATCATGAAGAAAGTTGAAAGCATAATATTACAATTTTTAAATTTATTTTGTTGAATAGGCAATATATTCATGTGGTTAGAGAAAAAGGTTTAGAGTGAAGAATCTCCCTTCCAGTTTTACTTCTGTGCAATTACCACCCCCTACCCTTAACAGGGAAGCACTTTCCTTTTTTGTTTTATAAATTTTAGTTTAAAACTCCTTTCACCTCCCAGTTTTTTATACCAGAAGCAGTGTAATGTAAACACTGGTCTGCCCCTAAACCATATATCTCTTGGAGCTCTTTCTATGTCAGCACATAAAGAGCTTCCTGATTCTTACTTTTTTTTAAAACAGCTGCACAGTACTCTGTTGGATGGATGTACTATAACATCATAATTTATTCAACCAGTCCCTATTGATGAACGTTTGTTTGTTTCCCGACTTCTTCTGCTATAATAAATTACGCTGCAGTGAATAACCTTATAAATATGTCACTTCACATGTTTGCAAGTCTGTCCGTGGGATAAGTTCTCAGAAGTGTGATTACTGGGGTTAAAGGGTTTAAGCATTGCAATTTTGATAGATTTTACCAAATTGCCCTCTGTAGGGGTTCTCCCACCAGTAACGTA